CTGTCCCAGCCCCTGACCCCAGGCCTCCCTCTCCCACCAAAGACCCTGCATCCTGAGGGTGAGATCACCCCACTGTAGATGCAAAGTAGACAACAAGTCCCAAACCCCAGGCCTCCCTCCACTAGCCCCACACAGTAACCCCACACCCTGGTAGATGCAGAGGGCGAGTCTCTGGCCTCCAGGCTCCATGGAGGAACAGAAACCACCCCGTCAGTAGGGGTTGGGTCCTCTGGAAGGCAGCTGGACAGAAGGTCGCTGCTCTCAGGGCCCTGCCCACACCCAGAGCTTTGGTTCCTCTCACCACTAAGGTCTGTGTCACCAGCACTCCAGTCCCCTCTCCGATGTCCTGCCCACCCCACGCCTGTCCACCAATCCTGGACCCTGCTTCACACTCCCGTTACTGTCTCCCTTCCCTGAGGCACCCTCTGTGGCCTGTTCCCCAAGAGTCACGTCCAGGTGACAGCTGCCCTCTCAGCCTCTGAGCTCTGGACGCTTACTCATTCAGGCCCCCAGACCACCCAGCCCTTCCAGCCTCCCCGGGGCGGACTCTACGCTCGGCCTCCAGGGACTCACGACTGTCTGGTCATACCCTCGGCCCTGCTCACTCAACCCACTGCTGTCCAGGCGGTTCTGGCTGCTGGTGGATTCAAACCGTGGAAGATGTGTGAACTTTTGGTTAGCTGCCACACGCTACAGATCATATCATCAGAGCCACTCCTGCTTAAGCCTCTAAAGCAGAGGTCTGCAAACTTGATCAGTCAAAAGCACGAGTGATTCTGCTAGGCCTTCAGCCCCTCTGGTCCTTGTCACTCCACCTCAGCAGTGGCCACAGACGGCTTGTAAACAAATCGGCATGGCTGTGGGTCAATAAAACTTTATTTGCAAAAAGCAAGTGATGGGGTGGGCAGAAATTATTCCAACAAAACTTTATGTACAAGCATAAGTGTCTGATCACATTTAAAACTTTATTTACAAACCAGGTGTTTGGTCAGATTCTGTCCTAAAGGTTTCCTCACCAGGTGCTTTAGGGCCTTACTGGCGCCAGTTTCCCTGAACACCTGCCCGCTTGTCATCTGCATCCAGCACCACAGCAGATGCTGCCTCTAGCCCCAGGGCCTTTGCACAGGCCCTTCCCACTGCTCCACGCTCCCAGACCCTTCCCCACGCCTTTCTTTTTTTTCCCTATAATTATATTTTATTAATTTTCATAAACATTTACAGAGATTTGGGGTTTCCATTCATTCATTGTTGCACTATTCTCTCTACCCTCCTCCCAGTTTGTTCTTGTCCAAATGCCACAGTGCTTGTCAAAGCCAGTTCTGATTAATCTTCTTTGTCAGTGTGTCCTTTGCCATTCCCTATCACTCCTCCCTGAGAGAGACTTCACCCTGAGTCATAAGGAAAAGGGGACGGCGTATTCTCTTAGCTACTTCCTGCTGAAAAGGGACGCTGTGGGTTTCAGGGTGAAGATCTTCTCTCACTACTCTAAAGGGCCCCTTTGGCAGTAGGAAACACATAGACTATTATGGAGATTGATTTTGGAATTTAGATGCACTCTTATTGATTGTGCTTGGCCGTACAAGTTCATATCCTTCAAGATGTATCATGGGGGTGTTGCAACCTAGAAGACACTAATTTGACTAACAAGTTATAAGTACATGAGTCCAAAAATTATGGAAAAGTAAAAGAAAAGATTCTTTCATTGTTTTACAAACCCTCCCCCAGGTCCCCTCCACCATGTAGCCCTCGCTCTAGTCTCCTGTGATGACAGAAATACCCAGTTATATATCTCTTTTAAACAGTTCTCTCCCTCCTCTGTTTCAGTGCAGTATACATTATTGAACCCATCTTACTCAGTCTCTCCCCAACCCCAAGGACAGTCCCATTCTACAACAGTCCCCATGCCTTTCAATTCTTGTTTCCTTCAGATCGTAGGTTTGTAGTGGCTTCCACCCTTGTCAGTCCTTAAGCACTCTTCTATGATAATGATTTTTTTTTCCTTTTTCTTAAAAATATTCTAAAAACTATTTTTTTTCTGTTGTTGAGATCATACACAGCAGAAGATACACCACTTTCTCCACGTACAGTTCAGTGACATTGCTGACATTCCTCCTCATCTTCCTTCTCGACTGCCTTGTTCCTCTCTGCCTGGGGCTCCTGTCTGTTCTCATGTAGACATTCTGAAGAGAAGCGAATGCCCAAGGCAGCCATTCTTTACAGATAAGCTACAGTTCAGTCAGAAGAACACACCAATCTGTCCTGGAGTAAGTGCGACCTGACTGTTCCTTAGAGACAAGAACGGTGAAATTCTACCTCACATATTTTGGTGTATTGTCAGAAAGAGCCAGTTCTTAGAGAAGGACTTCATGCTAGAAAAGGTGGAGGGTCAGAGAGAGAGAGTCTTCCTACCTTCAATAATGAGACTAACCGACACAGGACAGTCACAATGGACTTACGTACAGCAGAGGTGGTGAGGAGTGTGCAAGGCCAGGGCAAAACTGAGCTCTGTTCACGGGTCACTACGAGGCACAGTCAACCTGATGATTCCTAACAAAAGCCATCCTGTTTTAGGAAGGCTTCGGAGGATAATTACCGAGCTCAGAAGCCTCAGACACAGCCCCTCTTGGTGCCGTACTCCAGGTTCCCAGGAACCATCCACTCAAACTCCAGAGCCCCTGGACTCACTCGTGGGCAACCCCTAAGCTCACACAGGCCACCCTCTCCATGAAAGTCCTCCTGTGCCTGGAACAACTGACGTTCTTGCATGTTGTAGGCTCATTCTGTTTCTTTCCCATAAGCCTCAATCTCCTTCAAAACTGCCCTCTACCCAGGGCCCAGCAGCCGCCCCGAACCCCACAACAGTTCAGCTGCTGAGCTTCCAGCCTAGTGGGGGACACCTGGTCACATGCTGCCGGTCACACTGTGACAGCTGGCTGTCATTCCGGTGCCTTCATCTGAAAGTCACCATTTTACAGATGAGAATACTGAGGTTCAGAGTGGCCACATCCCCTGCCCGAGAGCACAAAATCTGAAGTGTGTCCAGTGTGGGTTCATCGGAGATTCCCTTTTCTCCTATGCCTTCCACCAAAAGGCCCAAACACCTTCTCTAGGGTTCTGTTCTGTTAGGAGTTCTCGGGAGAGCTCACACAGCTTGTATCCACCCTCCTGTTCATCTCGTTTTGGTGCCTAATCTGCTCTTTGTTATTTCATATCTAAGACATACTTTTTACAATTTACAGCCTTGGGAGAACCTCTCTGAGTCAGAACCGACTCCACGGCAGTGGCAGCCCTGCACTGATAGGGCCTCCCTGACAACTGAGAAGCCCTGAGTCTCAGAAGTGACATGTGGGTATTCATCCAAGGGACTGGCGCACCCATCCCCCACCACAATCTTTACTGGGCACTGGAGGGGAGGGTTAGGGGGAGAAGCCAGCTGTCTGCACTAAACAAAGAGGAGGCGGCTGCTCTGTGGACTTAGCGTTTCGGGAAGCCAGGCGCTTCTACTCCCCTCACGGGGCTGCGGTCAGTCGGAGCTGACAGGATGGCACAAAGGGTTGGCTCTGGGGTTTTAATCTTTCCAGTCCCACAGTCCATATGGTCAGGGAGGCTCTCGCCTGAGAGAGAACGTGCTGGACAAGAGTCCCACCATCTGGGTGACCATTTCAGAGTCGGCATGTCCTCTGTGCCCGACGACATCAGAACTGTGAGATGGGGATTGTGGGCACCTCCCCACCCAAGCTGATGCGAATGTGACATGACGGGACATCACACATGTGGAGCCTTGCTGGGCCCGGAGACAGGGTGCCCGGCCCCTCACGTGTTCAGGGCAGGGTCTCATCCATCCACCCATCCATCCATCCATCCATCCATCCATCAGAATGGCCAGTGACCCAGCCCACAGCCCACTCTCCACCAGATGGCGATCAAAACCCCAGGAGGGCGAGTCTATGGGACCAGGAAGCCAACTGTCCATCGACAGAACTGCCCAGACGTGTGTGAGGCTGGACAGTCCCCCCCCCACCCCACCTGGCCCAGCCCTGTCAGGACCCTCACCCTATGCACTGAACGCTGGGCTGCGGCAGAACCCCTGGGGGATCAGACCCATCTGGACTCTGACTTGGGCTCAGACTTGCCTTGGGGCTGGGAGGTGGGCGAGGAAAGCGGGTTTGCAATAGGTGGGCAGTGGTCCCCATGTTTGAAACTGGACAGGAGACACAGATGGAGGGGGAGGACGATAGGAGGGACTGGCTGGACTGAGGTGGGGCCCAGGGACCATCTGATTGCCCACAGCCCTGGCCTGTCCTCTTCAGGACAAACGTGTGCTCACCAGCCTCTGGCTACCACTTCTAACACTAAACCTGCTGGCAGACCTTAGGCCATTTAGGTCCCTGGAGGTGACCAGCCCTCCTGCCATCCGAGGACCCTCTGGGTCTGGCCTTTCCC